TTTCTGGGCACTAACCTTTGCCCTCACACTTTCTGGGCACTAACCTTTGCCCTCACACTTTCTGGGCACTAACCTTTGTCCTCACACTTTCTGGGCACTAACCTTTGTCCTCACACTTTCTGGGCACTAACCTTTGCCAGCATTTGCCCTGAGCAGAAGACAGTTTACTGTTGTGCATTTCAGGGATTTGCTGCTATCTTAAGTAAAGTTCCTTGTCCATGTTTGAACAAACCCAGATTTGCTTGACAGTCCTTCCAAAGTTTTTGCTGTACGGTGTTGTTTAAGTCAAAGTTTTCTCCCTAAATGGAGGCTTTGAGAGCTGAAAGGAGCTCCTGGTACATGTAAGTGCTTGTCCTTAAAGTCGAGGAGTGAAACAGAGGAGGAGACATAAGAAAAATCCCATTTGCTGCAGCTCTAAAGTATGCAGGTGATGAAACATACACTTAAGTACCTGCTGTTTTGTTCCCTCCCAGATTATTGATGATGATGATGATGAAGAAGAGAAGAATGGAGTCCTGGCAGCAGTGGCCAACAGTTGCAGCACCCCTGACAATACAAACAAGACCGATACAAACAAAAGCAAACAAACCAGCACTGACAGAAAAAGGGAGAGAAGTCAACACAGTGGGTGTAGCTCAGCAATGTCGGTAATGAAAAGACTTTTCTGTATCTTTGATTGCTTCCATGTTAAAAATCCTTACCACATAGACAACTACGCCAGATTCTCTTTCCCCTTATCATTCATCATAATTAATGTACTTTATTGGGTGTATTATTTGTATTTCTAAATATTTTATTTTGTAATATTAGTTTAAAGTTTAGAAAATTGACATGGGAGGGGAAGTTGCAGAAAAATGGAGTTACATGTGGATAGAGGAATATAAAAGGACGTGCCACCTTTTCAAGTGTGTCTAAAAATTTTGTTAACTCACTTTTCTGCATTTAAATGTCTGTCATCCAAAAATGGCTTCATATTAACATGCATGTCCCATATGAAACTACTTATCAAAGGCCAATAAGTAATTTTTTTAATATTTAATGCTCAACTTTGTAAAATAAATTATATTATACTTGTTTCTGAACTCCATTGAATAAATGTAAAAATGAAATGCTGTTTTCCTTTTCTGTTTTCTGTACTCAGTTCCTTCTAGCTTTGCCAATAATGCATACATTTTCCAGATTATATAAGAAAATGTTTAATTGCAGATCAAAGTGGTTTTGCTACGTAGCAAGAAGCAGCTTTGAAGACATGAGCTACCAACACAAACCAAACAATCTTCATTTTTGTAAGGTCACAGATATGTGTCAGGATCCCTCTATACCTTTAGACAGAGCTCCCATAGTCATCAATGGCTTTTCTCAGCAAGAAAGAAAGAAATGAACTGGAGCCAAAAGGTTCACATCCAGCGAGATGCATTTCCCTGAGTGAGGATTTAGTTGTTCACCAATCCTTAATGGAAAATGGCAATTTATCCTGACGTTTATACTCTGAACTCTGCTCAGTCACAGCTGCCTGGGTAACTACTATGCAGAGGAAAAATTTGATATGCTTAATTTTCAGCTTGGTAAATCCTCTTGAACTAGATGCTGTTAAAAAAAATTCACATAAAGGTGGAAAACTTCTTGAATAGAAAAGAAAACCCTGTGTGTGTGATAGCTCGTGATAAAATAGGAAAAGTTTAACACAGATAAAATGATGAGAGCTATCCCACATGAGAGAATGGCTACAGGTGGTGAAAAACCATAACTGTCTTTCCAGGTGGTTACTTCACTGACAGCTATTACAAGCCTGTTCCCTCCACTGCAAGCATGGAAGTTTAAAGGCAATTATTATCACATCTTTTTCCTGACTGTAACACAGGTATCTGCTGCATACACTGGTAAAAATGTGTGCATGTACTGTTGTGCACTGTGCATCTTGGCATTTCTGGTGATCAGACTCACTGCACACATGAAATGTTTAAATGAATTAAACATCTCCCCTAACATGGACAGGCTTGGACACACCTTGTCACCGGGGTGCTGCCCGTGAAGAGCACCATTACATGAGGAGGAAGAAAGTGCAAAATACCAGAGCGAGACAGATTTGCCCTTGCTCCCATCTAAATCCACAAGAATCATTGCACACTGGTAGACAATTATGAAGTCACTAAAATCCCCTCAGTATTTTTATTTTCTAAAGGCTGACTACTGAAAATTTGTTTCTCTGCTGTTATCAGTAATGCCTTTTGCAAAGCTTATTGAGGCAATGCAACTTCAAGAACAGTCTCGTGCCTTTTGGTACATTGTGGCTATTCTAACTTTCATATGAAATTAAATACATTCAAGAAATCAAACTAAGGCTGCCAATTATTTTATTTAACATTCTGCTACTGAATATTTTACCTTAAACCCTTTATTCAGGAACAGGCTGTATGACATTTTTTCTTGGAGGTGTAAAACTGGACTCTTCGATCTCTTTCCAGTTCTTACCCCCATAAAATTCACAGAAGACAGATATTAAATCTTTGTGTTTAGTTTCTTAAATTTGAAGTTTACATTGTTCCTGAATCTTTTCAAACAGTTACCCATCATGCTAACACTAAATTTGGGATTAACATTTACTGCAAGCATAAAGTAAGCATTTTGAGTTTTGTAGCTTCCAATTAATTTGGTGACAATTCACCTTAAATATTATTTTTAAAAGTTGTTGAAAGTCTGAGCATCTTTATTTACAATGAACTAGCTGAAAACAGGGTCTGTTCTCCCACTGATGTGCTAATTGTAAGTAGTGTTATACTCTGAAGTCCCCCATGTTTTCATGAAAGAATTGACTGCACAGACAGATTATTCATTATTTTGCTTTGCATAATTCTGCATTAATTGCTAATTTCAGAAATAAAACTTGGTTTGATGTTCCCAATAGATTTCCAGTGTGGTGTATGAAGAATGAAGAAGATCATTTGAATTATCCTGTTCAAACATAGTTTCTGTCCCTGGAAACTCCCAAATCCCTTGGAGTTAGTCAGAAAGGCTCCCTGAAGTAAGGAGCATTCATGAGCAATTCACTGAGTGCTACAACTCAGAGGAAAATTTGAGAGGGGGAGTCTCTTTCAGTGCTAAGACCAGGGGCCAAAGCTGAGTCTGAGGGGATGAAAATTACCTTGGTTTCATATCTAATGAAAAGACCTTGGACTTTTGGCAACCAGTTTCTGGTTGATAGTTGAGTTTCTTTGATTTTAATGTTTTCCAATCAGAGTCCTTCTCCGACTCATAATTCAGGAATGTTGTATTTTGGGACCGCTGGGGGCAGATGTACAATGAGGGACCCGAGGCAGTGAAGGGGTTACATTAGAGAACTGATGATGTATCCTCACATAGTTTGCTTTGCTGTCAGCAGGATGTGCCCTGCTTTCCATGGATCCAAAGGCAGCAGCCAGCCTGAGGAAGAACTTTCCTTCCTCTGTGGAATCTCCAAGCCTGGTCTTTTAATTGATTCAGCAGCCATCACATAGGTGTTTAAGCATTGTGCAGACTAGAAAAACACCTCTGACCTTAGCGAGATATTTGATATTGTTTTCTTTCTTAATGGAAAATTATTATGAAAATAGAATCCTGTGCTGAGATATTTAATCAGATATTTTATTCTTTTTTAGATTTTAGATTTTAGACATAAAGGTATTATTGCTACCTTTTCTCTTCATCAATTATATAACGTTTTTCTAATTCAGCCATGCTTTAGGTAAATATCTCCTGCAGCCTGCTTCCTGTGATGCCAGATGTGATACTTTGAGAGTATTTGAAATATTTCACCTAAATCAAGAGGGAAATACTAAGGAAGGTGATATTTTAGAACAGGTATTCATTAACCCCCTCATAAACTAGAGAAGGTACTTTAAATCACTATCAGATAATTTCTTTTAAGACATGAAGAACTAAATATCCCATCTGAATACTCCAGTCAACACATATGGCAAGCATAAGAGATGGGGATCCATCTGTTGATCTGAGTACGGATTTTCAACACAGTGGCCTTGTTTATTAAGAATGCAACAGTAACTTAAATAAACTTTCCTGCTTTGTGAGCCTCTTTGGGTTTTTGTGCTAATTATTTTGAGAACTGTTACGCATTTTTGCATGGGAAAATGTATTAAAAAAAAAAAAAGGCTGTCACCCTGTAACTCAAAATGAAATTACATAAAAGATTATAGAGTAAAGAAAACCTACATAGAGTAAAGCTGGTGGCTACAAAGAGGTGAATAAGAGCCCTTGCCAGTGGAGAGGTGCAGCAGAGTGCCTGAGCACCTGTCCCAGCGCAGCCTGGGGAGGTGCAGAGGAGCTGGTGCTGCTGGTACAATTCACTCCGTGCAGCAGTAGATGGAGCTCATTAACTGCTCTTCATCCTTCAACGAGCAAATGTAAATGGCAAATGCTAGCTAAGAAGGGCTCTAGGGAAAAGCCATTACAAGCTGACATTTGTACTGTGGTAACTAGGTCATGTTTGTAGCTACACATTAATTAAAGTCAGGCAGGACAGCACTGTCAGGTGGACTATTTTTCACGCTGAATTCAGGCTTCTCAAAGCCCGATTGTTGTTTCCACCATTTTAGCCACTGAAATCTGACATACTCTGCCAGTCCACAAAGTAACTTCACAACTGCAATACCTTGTGTTTAAAGTGTGAATTTTCTATCCTTCTTTCAAGGTTTTCTCCTGTCACTGTCAGACATGAAATGATTCACACAAACACAGCTCCAAGTGTGGTGAAAAAAGAAGAAAAGTTTATTTGTTCTTTCAGTATTTATAGGTTTTTGACAACGACCAGGGATTGCATAGTCAGGTTACCACCTTCCCAACTACACTGGCCGTGAGAGACGTCCATCAAAAGGCATATCTTTAATGGAATGTATAAACACCTATGTTTATGGTTTCTATCCTGGGAAAGTGGCTAGAAATTATGCAAACAATATCGAAAAGCCTGATTCCCAGGGCCACATTCTCCTGCAGGTTATATTGTTTCAAATCAAAGCATTGCAGCACCTCAATATTTCAAGGCAAGCAGAATAGTGGCTCTATTAACAGTTTCCCTATAACCATTTATGAAAACTAAATAAATGTTCCCAGGTAATTCACTGGAATACTGCTAAAAATTGTCACAAAGAGAAAGATAATTTTTAAAGCCAGTTTCAATAAAGAAAATGTCCCTTGAGAGGGGGCTGGTTGAAAAGGTGGGAAGATGAGCTGTGAGAGTCTTCTGGGCAGATTAACAGGTCACTGCAAGAACAAGCCATCTCAACCTGAGAGCTGAAAACTGGAGGGGATTCTGCTTGTAGAGTAGTGGGTGCTTGGCAGTGTTTAAAAGCAGCTAAGCTGGACATAATTTCAAACTCTGTAATGGATTTGCCATCACTTGTTCTATAACTTTATAATTAAAACCAGGGGTCCACTTTAATAATATTGCCAAATTCAGCTTTTCATCATTTTCCATCTGGAGACATCTTTCTTCCCCAGTCCCATCTGACTGTCAAAGTTTCCATCCTCAGAGAGAGAAGGATAAGGGGGTATTTCAGTCTCATGATGTGAGTTTACTCAGATAATTTGGGTTCTGGGTTTCTTTCCAAATTGGAATGGACCCTATTTTCCTATTCTAGATCAAACACAGACAAAACTTCAGAAGACAAGAAACCCCAGAAGATTTTAGCACCATCACATGTGTGCATGAACCATGACCCTGATTAATTTTGAAATTCTGCTCTGAAGTTTGATCCAGATTTAACCACTGGATAACTTCATCAGTAAAAACACATAT